TCTCTCTCTCTCTCTCTCTGTGTGTGTGTGTGTGTGTGTGTGTGTGTGTGTATATATATATATATATATATATATATATATCTTTTGTCTGATAACTGAACTTTTCATGTCAATACTATTGATTGGTATACTTTTCTAGGGAGGAAACCACATTTATGCAAGAGGTTTATCAGTTCATCATATATTTATGTACATCACAGTAAGTGCTCTTTAGATTACTCTTCTCCTTATTTATGTTCAGTAGTCTTATCTGAAGTACATAAATAGGAAGGAGTGGAGTGGAATCTACTTGCCACCTTTACCTTTCTTAACAAGTAAATTATGTTCTCAATTTATTTTTTCTCTTCAGGAGCTTGTTGATAAGTCATCGCAACAATTTCTGAGTCTAGATAACAATCTTTCACTTTCTCTACTTTGCGTACATCATACCCCTATTACCACATATAGGAATAACTTCCTTTATACAAGCACAACCTTGTATAGAATAATAAGATCAAGATAAGTTTTTTCTCCATAATGTTCTTTACTATTGTGGTCCAAATGTTTGGATTATCTATGGATTCTTTCACAGGAAGGGCTCTATCAAGGACCTTTCTTTCTCCACTAACTAATTTCTGTCAAAACATGACATGCATTGGAATAATTCCTTATGAACTAATGGGAAAGAAATTTACTTTGCTGGTCTTTTGGTTATGTCACGTTACATCATTGTGGAATCCATCTTTTTATATAAGTTTACATTTCTTGCAGTATTGGATCTGCAGCCAACAGACTTTTTTTCAAAAGGTTGCAGGTAATATGATGGTTATTTGAGCCTAATAGTTTTAGATTTAAATTGGGATTTCCTTTGTGCAGTAAGTGCATTCATCTTCTGATGATTGATATTTTTAGATTTGGCTCTGCCTCCTGCTCTATGTGCCTAATGGGAAATCTTTAGTTCTATCCAGACTGAATCAACTCCATCAGCTAAGGTCGTCCATGCAGATCATATTGCTGCTTGTCATAATGGTTGCTCTGCTGATGATTACTGATAAAATTGGCACCATTAAATCACTATTTTTTTCTTCTATTACAAGCTGAACATCTTTTCATTTTATCCCAGCAAAACAGTGAAAGATGTTCTAACCTATCAATAGCTGGTAAGAAATGTGAGTATTTTCTTTTTTGATCTTGTGATTGATTTTTTTATTCCCTATTTATTCTGCTTGCTTCATTTTCTGTAATAGTATTATCAATTTACTGCAGCTCCAAATTTTGGTTTTCTGATCTTTTCTTACAGCTAATGAGACAAACTTTTAGAAAATTGGATGCACCTGTTACTCGTTTAGCTCTCTTACCCTTTATGTATGATCTATTGGTTTTCATCTGCCATGTCTCCCTTAGCCCCCACTATATCGATCTACTAGCTTCCATTAGCTATGTCAATGAATAGCATGTTGTGCCAAAGTTAGCAACTTTGTCACTAGAGAAAACCTGTGACTTGCTCTTATGCTGTTGTGATCAAAGCTTTGACTGTTCTTCACAGTGGCTATAGAAGTTTTTGCATCCAAGGTTCTGCTAGAGATTTTGCAGCTATGTGCAACTGTTATTATTTAGTGTTCAGGCTTGTGGTTCATTATTGAACTCGAATCATCTAACTGTTGTGTAGGCATGTCATTGAAGCAACAAAATAGTGGATGCTTGATCTTATTACAAGGTTTTCATGCTTCCTTATGATGGTTGCTATTATTTTGTTATCATCTAACTGTTGTGTAGGCATATCATTGAAGGAACAAAATAGTGGATGCTTGGTCTTATGACAAGGTTTTCATTCCTTATGATGGTTGCTATTATTTTGTTATGGAAATAATCATTTTTTTCTTTTTTGTTGGCATTTTTTCTCTGTACATAGTTTAGACATCATCGTATCTTGGTACTTATTTCTTGTCGATCATCTCTATGACAGTTAAGTGAGCTATACAGTATCTACGATATCATTGTTTTTTGTTCTCTTGAATTATACTAATTTCCTTTATAGTCGATGGAAGATGCTTACCAAAAATTCAGTTCCAGATTGCTTGGTTATTTGGTCAATTGTGTAACACGTTACTCCTAATTCCACCCATACTCAACATGCATGACTAAAGTAAAATGTCACATTTTAATTTTCATTACTACTATCGATAGGAATACAACGGAAGTAGGCAATTTAAAATTAAAACATGCCAACTTACTAAACAAAAAGATATGGTTTTCCCTATACATAATTATTACATCTAACCAAAGGAAAACACAAATATAACATATTCAAAATTTATACACATAAAATACATACAGATCATCGTCCATATCTGCACTGGCACAGGCTTGCAGTACATGGTTGGATGGGCCTTTGGGGTGGTGTCCAGGGTTGGTTCGCTTTCTTGTTCCACAGTAATGTCATGTGATCATTTGTGGGGACATTTGATTGTGACGAATCTCTTTGGACCCTTTGTCGCACGATCATTCATAGCTTACGAAATCTATGTTTGCTAAAACGTCTGCTTGTGGGATCCTAAGTTAAACGTTTCATTTAACCCATCTTCTCTTTTGTAGGGCCTTAGAGGACCAAAGGGGGTTTCGAGGAGATTGATCCTTTGCGGACAGACTCACAATGGTGCCACATGACTTAGCAAAACTAGCTAAGTCCATGACACAGTAAATATACCGTTGACAGACGTTGCTTCCCAGATTGGGTAAAAATGTAAACCTATTGCTACATCATGATCTTGAGCAAAAAGGATCGAGTCATTTATCAAGGGGAAGATCTAGGATTAGTGTCTTAGTAATAATACTAGCACAGACCTAACTCCTAAGCAGCCAGGAAAGTGATTATTAGGTTTGGACTTGAACAAAAGATGGTTTTATTTGCTTGGGCTTATGCATTTTGGACCATATAATTAAGGGTCACACCAAGTGAACTGGCATACAAGACATTGGACTGTGTAATGCAGCCCAAAAAACTCTTCTAAGTAAGCCAGCAAACATCACAATTTAGTTCATCTACTTGATGTTTATTAGTTGATAATGGTTCACAGGTTATACTAGTTAATTTTGTCTCTATTTTTTGCGACATCTGTGGTTTAGAATTTACAATTGATGTCACTGGCGTAGTGATCAGTCTGTGACTAGTGTTAGTAACCCCAGGTCTATCAGGGTCATTTTTGTTTCAGGAAAGCCTTTATCAACTAGAATTTAGAGTTTCCTTTACAGAAGGTTGACAAAAGATTCCAACAGCTATACATATATCGGAAGCAAACATAATTGACTTATGTGTGTATATGTGGTTATTGATCAAGTTTCATTTTTCTAGGAAGAAGTTATAAGCTACCTACCAATTCATCAATTATGTATCTTCAGAAGAGACCCTTCAAATTATCTCTACTCTTTGATGATTCCCTTTACTATTTATGTACGTTGATAACATAGCTTAAGCAACCAAAATCACCCATGTTCTTTCCTATTGGAAGTCAATGTCTTTTAGGGTTTTTGAGGGTGCTTGAGATGGGACAAACCATTTAGGTGAAGGGGATAATGCCAAGAGATGACTCAAGTAAGGATACTTATTCTCTACAAACTCCTATTTGATTAATAGTTTCATTGAGGTGAGACGAAACAGGCCATGTTCTTTTCTGTATGGCAACAGTCTTCCGTTGCTGCACTTTAAATTTTGTGACTGCCACAAGAGAAAAGTACTCTTTATTGAATAGTTTTGTTCCATGATGACAGAATCAAACACATGGCTTGTACGGGTCCTCAATTCTTTAATCAATGGCTATGATGTTTATACCTTTTGCATGGCAAGATCACTGCTCCCTTTTTCTATATCAAAAAGAAAGTTCTTTTTACTTATGTTTGCTTTTCTTTTTTAGTCTGCTACGTTGGAATTGCTGAGATGATGTTCCCCGTGCCAGGACGGAGGAGTAACACCATCAAGGCTCGAGGTTTGCTGGTACATGTATAAATTTATGTTTCAATTTGTGTTAATTTTGGTCAAGAGTAGGTAGCATTTATGAATCTGTGTATTTTACCTGCAATGCCTCACCTATAAGTAGTGAATCCATTTGCTAACATCAAGTCTCTCTCATAAGCCCTACAATCCCTTAGTTATTCCTTGCTCCTTTAGATGTACAATTTGCTTGATGATGAAGCCAAGATAGCACCAAGTTGGCGCAGATCCACACCTATCTCATGAAAGTTACTATGGAAGATTCAATATCAATTCTTGACACCATTTCTTAATCATTGCATTTCATACTTATCAAATATATATCATGGTGTTCTAAGTCTAAAATTATATTATTTGAACCTTTTGTGAGTCCTCGGAATGGATTTAAACGAGTAATCATTATTTGTATTCATTAGGTAGAGAAAAGGTGCAAGGCATTTTCCATTTTGAATTTGCATATAATTTACAGGCAAAGTCAGTGATTTCATAGTTATTAGTGTTAGTTATAACAATTTCTCTCTGTAAAACTTGAAGTATTTCATAAAGCCCTTGTAGTTAATCTAATTTAGATTATTTTCATTTCATTACTAGAATAAAAGTTTTAAATTCTAATTCACACTGATACCTCGTAAAAGATAGGTTATGATAGTGAATATCTTAAGGGTGTGTAGATATTTTTTTTGTTTTAAATAATTTTAAATTTTAAATTAAAATTATTTTAATTTAAAATTTGGAGGGGCACATATGCTATATTAAAACATATAGGGACAAATGCACCAAGGTTTGCAATACCGTACCGTACCGGTGTTTCGACCTGGGCTCGGTACCGGTACGGTACGGTATACCGAGTGGTACAACCAAGTGTGTCGAGTACTGTAGCTCTACTACAGTGCTACAGTGCACTCGGACTGATAACAGGCGGTCTGTGTACCGACAACATGTCGGACCGGTACATACCGCCCATATCGGGCGGTACAGTTCGGTACTGCAGACCATAAAATGCACTATATCCTAACTTTGCAAAGATACATATGTTAGAACCTCTATTTTATATATGAATTCTTTGTCATTACATAGTGTAAATTATTAATAAGATATACTAATTTTTATATTTTGCAAGAGTAATTGAAACAAACAAAATTTGGTAGGGTTAAACATGCAAGTCTGCTCGGAATTATCTTTGTTTCAGTTGAGGATGATTTCAGCAAGAAAAATAGTTTCACCAGTCACACACTCAAAACATCCTCCTTGAAAACAACCATATGCACAACTGTGATTGTAGTGCGGGGATTTTAGTTCAGTGTCAGTTTTCAGCACCTCTGTGCACCCTCAAAGTTGGAAAACAAAAGCAAACAAGATGACTTTAGTTGCCAGCTTTAAATCTTTTCCCAGTTTGAGGCAGTGGAATCATGACCTGCCTAATTTTTTGTGTCTCCACAAGTGTAGACCTTCTTTGGGACATGTTGCAAACACTGTCGGCTTGGCTAGTTTCCATGAGTTGCTCTAGTTTCTAGTGGGACATATTTTATCACTTGGATCTTCCAGAGGTTAAATGGGGATGGCAGCAGTTGGGGTTTTTTCAGGTGTTTCATCTGTCCAATCCACTTAAACATAGGTTGGATATTTGTTAATTGGGTTTATCATGGATATGGTAGGAAAATAGATTTCTGAATCAGGTTTGAGATGAGTAGTTGAGTGTTTCTTCTTTTTCTTTTCTCTAAAGGGAAGAGTTGCAACTTTCTTTGATTTGGTTCAAAATTTTACTTCCTAGCAATCTCAGTCTAATTAAGGAGCAAAACTATGATCCAGTGCTCTCAAGTCTATCTTGGGTTCCATCTGTCTCAATCAAGAGAGCCATGCAAGCTAGGCTGCTCTAGTGTTTGAACTTTAGAAGCTGGTGTGAGATAAAAACATGGCAAAAGAAGATGTCCTGAAGTAATCAGACTACAGTGGGTGGTTCATTAGCTTATTATAGACATCTGAGTTTGGTTAACTCAACTTTTAGAAATTTGTAGAGTTGACATTGATTAACCATTTCTAGTTAGGATAATAAACAAAGAATACTTGGACTATTGCATTACTACACAAAAGGGAACCCTTTTGAAGTATATAGAAACTAGAAGAACAAGTACAAACCCAATGCAGAAGTAAATACAGTGAAAAAAAAAATCCAATTATTGTTACTACATTATGAGCTTAGAGAGACAACAACAAGAATATTCCATGGGGCTTGGTAAATGGTGTTTGACATTGAAATCAAATGAGATTTTCTTTGGTATGCACCCACATTTTATCATGCATTCTAACATCTGATATCCACCACAGAGTCGCTTCATATGAGTGAGGTTGGGTAGTGTTAGAAACTAGATTCTGTTTCTCTCTCTCTCTCTCTCTCTCTCTCTGACTCTGTCGACCATAGGTTGGAACAAAGGATACAGCATTTCTCATTTAGCTCTGACCAATGAACTAAAGTTTACAGAATTTTGAAAAGGCTCGAGCAGTATAGAAATAAAGGTCCTAGAAAAAAAAAAAAGTTGCTGCTTTTGATGTTCAAAAGCTTCCCGTTTCTTCATTTTCCCTGTTACCTTTTAATATCTCTCTCTTACCCCCCTCGCTCTCTCTCTCTCTCTCTCTCTTCATGGATGCCCTGTATTTTAATCAGGCTGGAACCCATCTTCCTATGTTGTTGTTCCTACACCTAGGAAATCAATGAAGGGCAAGCCAATCTTCTCCCTTACATCACCATCTAACCAAGCACTGGTCATGTGATAATCCACTGGTCCATTTGCTGAATTCTCAGGATTTGCTGAGCAAGCAGACTGATTAAATCCGGGAATCCACCTAATGGGAGCACCACAACACAGGAAACCACTGGCTGGGTCATCAGACTTCTGATGCCGTTGATTCCACACCTTTTTACCAGATCCTACATAGAAAAATAATTGAGACTGTACAGTGTTAGATTAGATGAATACAAAGAGAGATAGTGGCAAGATAACTATCATTAAAGGGCCCATGAAAAAACCGATCATATAATGAATACCATTACCATGAGGGAATGTACCAATTACTGGATCATGGAGGTGTGCCCGATGAGGAGGGCTGTGTCTGTTTAGGGAGTTAGCAGCAACCATGGTGGTGAAGGAGTTGAGGGATAGTTCTGTTGTGCAGGTGGAAGCAGACTCATCTTTGGTGCTGGTGATGGTGATGGTGGACTCACCACTGCATGATAAGTAGCTGCTGCTGTTCGCCTCCACTCTCTTAAGGAGGGCCTCAGTGGGTGGGGAGCTGAGAGAGGAGGGGGTGGGGGGCTTCCTCCTCCTGTGACCATTGGACTGCTCCCTCTTCGTCCTGGCCATGATCACATGCCAATGGTTCTTGACTCCATTGTCTGTCCTTCCAGGGAAGAGCCTGGCAATCAGTGCCCATTTGTTGCCATAAAGCCTGCGAGCAGCCAGAAGTCTCTCCTCTTCTTCCTCACTGAAGGCCCTCCTGTTGATCCTTGGGTCCAGCTGGTTGAACCATCTAAGCCTGCAGCTCTTCCCTGCACAAATACCAGATTCAACAATAAGGATATCACAAGTCAAGAGGAAATCTGGTTAGTGTTTTTGACACAAACAAAATAGAAAGAAGATATTCCCCTTCTTTTTCTTTTGTTATCTACTAGAAAAAACTTGGTTTCCTATTATTTATAGGTGTGAGTTGTTGGTGGATACCTGATCTCCCTTGTAAGTTCTCAGCAATAAGGTTCCAGTTTTGGGGGCCATACTGGGATACTAGCTCCTTTAGCTTGGCATCCTCAGCTGGCCTCCAATGTCCCCTAGCACAGAGCTTGTGCTGCTCCACGCTCTCATCTGTAGCACCACTACCACCTTCATCTTCCTCACCATGGTCGTTGGTCTCCTCCCCTTTGTGATGCTCTTGCCAGCTTTTCAAACCCTGAAGCCTCCAACCTTGCTCCACACTCATGCATTCCCTCTCTCCGGATGGAGAACTCAAAGCCTTTAGGAATGGAGGTGGTGGTGGAGGCGGAGGAAAGAAACCTTTGTCAGCTGTGGGTTTCAGTTGATTTAGAGCCATTTCTTCCTCTTTCAAGCCAAGGTCACACATGAAACTAACAGAGATATGAAAAAGAGAGAAACCAAAGAAACACTACAGAAGGAAACACAATCAAAACCAGCTTCTGTGTGGTTTGCAAGAGGCTTGAGAGGGGATCACAGTTTTTAAAACCGTAGGAAGGTGGATGATGGGGAACCCAAAGAGCTTGAACACAAACAGCCTTGGTGGAAGAAACCCACTCCTCTCTCTCTCTCTCTCTTCTCAGTTTATGTTTGAGTCTCCGCTTCACTTAGTTTGAGATTGATAGCTCCAAGGGTTGTATGCATTGGGGTGTGCAAGCGCAGGCTCAAAAAGGGTACCACTCGTGTGGGTATGGGAGTTTGAGTCTCCCACAGCAGTCTTTATATAACAGGAGCTGCTGTTTGTCCCTCACAGCCTTGACAAATCCACCAGCGCTCTCTTGTCTCCTTACAACCCCCATACTCATTTGGCCTTAGCTTTCAAGAGCAGATAACAACTGTTAAAAGAAAAATGCACACAAAAGAAAAAGGAGTGTTTGCCGAGGATATAGCACGGCCACCGCTTATCCTTTTGGCTATGCTAGCAAATAGAAATTGATGAAATAAATGCATAAAGAGATAAGAGTTAGAAGAGCAATATTCTTTTTTATCTTTCATCAGCATTTGTTTCTATCTGTTATCTTTATTGACAGATGTGATGTGCTGCTCTCTTCAACTCTTGGTCCCTTATTACATATACTTCCCCGTAAGACTTCTTCTTCATCTTGTGAACCCATTTCCCATATTGAACCTGATGGTACGTTCGTGTGACATCTACTACGTAGTTTAGTTCCCAGGTTTAATTGACATGGAGCTGTTTATTGTTCTCTATAGAAAGAGGTCTTAATTATATTGGTGAAAGTTTACTAGAGCAACAGTTAGTGACACTAACTGTTATCCAAAGATTTTTATGTTTTTTTGGTCATTCAAGTTAAATTCTTGACAAGATAGTTATTAACAGAAGTAGATGAAATAAGGAATAATATCATGAAGATATTAATGTCATTCTCTTCGAGATTAGATCATTTAAGATAGGTCTAAACCTTATAAGAGCTGCTGACTTCGGTAAACCTAATCTTCTTTCTCATTTTGCGACAAGTAGGCAATTTCTGTTTCCCTCTTACGATGTGGTGAAATATTTTTTTTACAGTAATGTAGCCAATAATTGAGCATCCTTTCTACTGTTGTATTGGGTCATATTCATGTTAGGTTGCACTCACTCTCTTTGATACTGTATCAAAACTCTAAGTTTCAAGTTTGACTGCGTTATTCTCGGATCATTAATCTGTTGATATAATTAAATTATAAGATTCAATCAAATGTGACTGACACAGATATAAAAAAGATGAAACATCTTGACAAGTTTAATCTGGTTATTAGTCAAATCAATCGTCTAAACTCATCGATCCGATTAAACTATGTTGATTTTTTAATCAATTAAACGAATACGGATTCAACCCAATGGCATTAGTCTTATTCCCTTTGTTTGTTAACTTATTAGGCTTAAAGTAGCATGTACCAGTTGATAATATTGACCCAATTCATCAGGTCAACTTGCGTAGTCTAAATTCCACTTTCATTCATATCACTTGATCCGATGCAAAGTGGCATCGTATCATGATCCTAATTTGACTTGACTTATTGGATGTCCTCGGCAAAAACAAAACAAAACAAAAAGATTATTCAAGTTCAACAAAAAATATCATATCTCATGACTGATCATTTGTTTTGAATTGGTTGAATATCATTTTTTGATGATGAAATAAATTGATGAAGTTATTATCTAATCAGCGTTTGAATGACGTAGAACTAATTTCGATTATCGTAAGATAATTCGATTGAAGCAAGAAAAATCAAACGTTGGGTCAGAGTGGATCATGTCAAAAGATTGGACGTTTGTCACGTACTTAGTTGGTTTTGCCTAAGTCGTGTGGCACCTTTGCATGTCCATCCGTAAAGGTCAGCCTCCCCGAAACCTCCTATAGTCCCTTAGGACCTACAAAAGAGAAAACGGATCAGAGAAAACGTCTCATTCGGGATCCACAAGCAATTATCTTAGTAAACATTTAATAGCCAATGCAAATTACAAATAAACTTCACAAGCTCTGAACGATCGCACAACAAATGGTCCAAAATGGTCAACTACACATCAAAATCCTCACAAGTGCTCATATGACACAATCTTTATTTGCAAGCCTAGAATGGCTACCAAAATAAAAAAAAATAGGGCTGCTAAGCCTACTACCAGCCTTTTATATGTTGTGCAAAGTATAAACACAACCGAAAGACACAAACATATATACATGAGCATTACATCAAACGCCTTGTTTACGATTTTCTCCGTGACATGTCGGGCCGGAGGATTAGTCGACGTGCCGGAAAGACTTCGTGTCATGAGTTCGGGCATCGGGCTAGAAGGATCAGACATTGTGCTAAGAAGATCAGATGTTACGGGAGGTCAATATGCCGATGGATCAGGCAATACGCTAAAGGAGACGATGATGTGTCGAAGGATCGGATGAAGCGTCAAAGGTTCGGACGAAGCGCCGGATGAACCAATAATATGCCGGACAACATACTATTCATGTTTGTAATTGATTGTGTTTAGATCAAAGTAGTTTAGGTCTTAATTATCATAATTATATCGTAAATTGAGTTAGTTTTGGGTGTAATCCTACTAACTCAATTAGGAGCTTATTAGGCTTGATCGAGGGTTGAGTTGGGCCCATTAGAGGCTCATTCAATGACCCAAAAGTTGGGTCAGGCGGTGGAACTGCCTATGAGCTGGAAAAGTATGAAATGTACTTCTTCCGGAAGACTCGACGATGGTACCGCCCAAACATAGTCTCCTGTGTCAAGTAGTGGTACCGCCAGACTGGGTGATGGTACCGCCTAGTGTCAATTTGGCAAGCGGTAGTACCACCCAGTACTGGCAATGGTACCGCCAATACCCTTAAAACTGAGGATGTGATATTTTTTTGTTCCATTTTTGAAGTCATTCGAGGCCTATAAATACATCACTCTTTCCTGCTTGAGAAAGCAAGAAAATAGAATGAAAACTTATGGTTTAGAGTGTGAAAACTTTGTTAGAAAGTTGAGTCCTTCCTCCTTCAGCTTAGAGGTTGTTCTAAGGGAGGTTGTGAGAATTTTTTTATAAAAAGGAATTGTAAAGATTCTTTCGTGAGCTTATTAAAAGGAGAAAGAGTTATAAAATGGTAGTTGGTCTTCGTCCATTGAAAAAAGATCGTTAGTGAACGTCGGTGGCCTCACGGAAGATAAATTGGGAGTGGACATAGATCACAACGATTGAATCATTATAAACTCGGTTTGTATTTTTTTCTGCTTTTCATTATCATTACTTATTGATTCAATTGTTTAATATTCTCACTTGCTCTTTAAATTTAAATGCATTTTCAGTATGATCCAAAAGGACATGTGGAATTGACTGATAATGAGTTACGATACTTGTAGTAGTTTTTTAAATTAATAGCAAATTACTTAAGATCCCATTAATAATACATATCATCAGAAGAGCATACCTCATTTTGTTGACTTAAGCTTTTAAATAAATCGGCGGTAGCGAACGCTTGTTTAGCATTATTGATTTAAAATAAGACTCCAAAAGGACGTGTGGAATGAATCACCATGAGTTATACTGGTTGTAGTTTTTAATTACCCTTATGGAACTCATGCTTATGTACTTGATAGAGATTGCTATAGGTCATCATTTTAAACAACATATTCATTATATATATATATATATATATATATATATATATATAGAGAGAGAGAGAGAGAGAGAGAGAGAGAGAGA